GCGCCTCGAAAAGCTCTACAACATGATATATTAGGTTGAGCAAAAAGTTCGCGGCCACTTGCAAAGATAAAAAATGTTTGCAAGTGACCGCGAACTTTTTGCTCAACATAGTATTTATATTCGAACTCGAATTAGGCAACTCATGCATTCGGATGATTTTCAGCAATCATCGGTGTCCAAGGCTCGAGTTTCGAGAAATAATCTACAGCTAAACCGTATTAATTCTACTACTAGTACATATATACGTACTGAAGATGTATGTATTTATATTCTAGATAAAATAAAATAACAATTTTTTGTTTTCATATCCAACAACTGCCAACTATGTTATCAGTCGAAAGAAAGTCATATATATATAATTCTAATCACTAGGAAACTCATCTGTCTTTATTACTGTTACAGGTCAATCAATGAACAGACAATTCAAGGTATTACTTATATAGCGACCATTGTTATTATCGGCTGCATTTTTGTGATCGCTGTGGTCATTGGAGTTATGATGGTTATTTTCAGTTTCGAGCAGCGTAAGATACGATCAGAAAGTGGGGGGAGGGGGGGGGGCGGCACCAACAGAATTTAAGAATTCTTTATCTTACACATTTACCATTGGCTAATTCTCCATTCTCTTTACATTAACATAATCTAATTAAGAACTCTGCCCATCACTAGTGCACCCTTGTACAGAAATCAAAAGTATTCTTTGTCAACACTGACACTTCCACAGATATCAAAAATGGGATGAAGATAATGTATATAGAAATATCAATTCGAACAATTACAATACCTTTCATGGAGAACTACATAATGATTTATTGTGTGAGGAACATTGATATGTTTCGATCCTTATGCTGTTTTTCATGAGAAGGACTTTTTTGGAATTGATGTTTGTCATCTTTTTCGGACAACAGTAACCAAGAAGTAACGCTCGTCGATAATCGACCCACTTGGCCCTAGACTGATGGACTACATAATTATATAGAATTGCATATAAAAATAGTGATAGTTAAGTAAAATGATGACCAAATAGAAAAATAATAATGATAAAAGAGGCTAGCAGCTAAAGCTGTTCTACAAATACACTTTCGGAATTCATAGGAGAAACTAGTTTGAGCTTTTGTAACATAAGATCTGCACTTTCGTCAACGAATCGAAAGACTTTTCATTGCAACAAACCTGGTCTCCTCTGTAGATTTTCGTCCTTTATATCAATGCTTTATATTGAGGTCCGTTCTACCACGGTTCTTAGCTGTGGTAAAAACTACTCCAATATTAACCAGTGGTACGAAGGACCACTATATATTGAAGTGGTGAAAGAAATCACAATATAGAGCAGTGGCATAAGGAACTACAGCTAAGAACTATGATGTTTTGTACCACTGGTCAACATTAGGGTCATTTGTACTACAGAAGTGGTCATTTGAACCATAGAGATGGGCCTTTAGTATCATAGAATTGGTCATTTTTACTACAGAAATGGGTCTTTTGAACATAGAAATAGACCTTTTGGACCATGGAACGGGCCACTTGAACCATAGAATTGGCCTTTTAGACCACGGAAATAGGACTTTCGGCCCATAAAAATGAATCATTTGTGCCAAGGTTACGGACAGACAGACAGACAGACAAAAGTGAATTACGGTTTCTAGACCCTAGCCTTTCAGTCTAGGGAACCAATATTTTTCTATCAGATTAGATTTTAATATTGATGAGCAGTAAGAAAGGTCATATTTACTGATGAAATTTATCATTAAATTCTTTCTTTTTTAACTTGTAATAATTATTTGACGTTACTCTGTCGATCACAACTTCTTCATAAAATTTATGATATTTATTGACTGAAATTTTACATATTTAAACAGCTTTAGCAATAGAATGATGGGAAGAAGAGAGCAAAGGGAAAATACAGGATGACAAAAAATGCAAGCAAAAACCCCTCCTTTTCTTATAATAGTAAAATAGATAGTCGAACGGTAGATGGAGATAGCGGGGGAAGAGAATGTATTTTTAAGTTTCTACTTATTGCGTTTATTATAAAGGACACGGTGTACGTTTACATTTTTTGACTGTTCTGCACTTCTCGTTTGCTCTCTTTTCTGCATCATTCTATACCTGAACTTGCCTAAATTTTAAAAAATTTAAGTCGATAAATATTAAATCTAATCGATAAAGAAGATATAATACCTACGATGCATAAATACCCATACAAATATCGTAACGTCATGTGTTCAAACGGAAACAACTTGAGTTCAAACGTTTGCACATACAAATGGAACAAAATATGAGCTCTAAAATACCTATTTTAAAATAAACCTTAATTATAACGAAACTGGTGCCAAGTGCTATTTTGACCGCCTTTGATATTCTTTCATTTATGAGTTCAATACAATTTCGGTTGTAATTTTTTCATTCATATTCGTATGGGGCTCGGCAAGCTGAATATTTTCGATCAGTTTAAATCAATTTTGTTCCTACGAGTGTTTACTACTGTCACCAAGAACCACGCAACGTAATTCTTTAGATCTTAACCCCTACTGTTGATCATTCTGGATACGTAGAAAAGTAGGCGATTGATTTCCATAAAGTCGAAAGTCCACAATGTTCACTTTCTAAGTTTCAAATCGCTCTCTTTTTTTGCCAATAGAATTTAAATTACACAAGAAAAACTGTGAAAAAAATGATTGTGGTAATGAGTCGATTTGAGTCGTTTTGAAGAATTTAAATTAAATGTCTTAAACTACAACCTAAGTTTTATTGTAAAATATGTATTTTAGAGCTAATACTTTGTTCTATCTGTAAGTGCAAAAGCGTGGATTCTAGTTGCTTCTGTTTGAACACATGAGGCTTCGATATTTGAACGGTTATTTATGCATCGTAGATAATGTCTTTGTTATACATCATCTTCTTCAGCTGCTTTTATTTTCGTCCCTCATAAGGTCTCGCTGTCTATTGAAATGTATACAAAGACCCATGTCAACTTTGTTTTTGGTGTATGTACAGTATATCAAAGTATTCTCAAGTAGATTAAAGAAACGGAGTTAGAAGGGAAATCTAAATAATTTTGTCCTCAATTTGTATGAAAAAAGGAAAATTTACATTTCTTCATTAAAGTATGTACTATAAAAGAAATATTTAAGAAACATTTATTCATAATGCACTCCGGTCTGGTTTTAGCGAAAAAGCTGCTTCTCTCGAAATAGTTGAGTTATGCTCTAAATTGTTTTTTGAAAACCGATAGAACGTTAAAGACGAAACATGTTCAACTTATATTTTGCATTTAGTTTTTCGTTTCGTTGCTACTAATTTTTGTATACCTACACATGTAAATGCATATAGGCGAATTAGC